CCTCCTGTTCTAAACACATCCTCCTCTACAATGCCCTCTATGTCATAGCTCCCATCCATATCCGGAGGGATCATGGATCTTCTAGAAGGGAACTGTTGGCTTGTAACACATGGCAACAGCTTTGAAGCATGGAACACAGGATATGTGTGGAGGTGTACTGGGATCTCTATAGTGTATGATGGTCCATCCTCTCCGCCCTTGACTTCTAGAACCGGCCACGGTCCTCTATATGCAGGCAGTAACTTCTGCGAGATGTTTTCTTCAGGCGCAAACTCTTTTGCCTTTACCCAGACTAAGTCGCCTACTTGAAACTGTGATGGGCGACGGTGCTTGTTAGCCTGTTCTATCATCCTATGCTGGGCCTTTCTAAGGTTCTCAACAACAGTTGCTAATTCTTTCTCGTGCTGTACTGCAAATTCCCTGGTACCGGGCGGTAGTCTGTGAATCTCATCCTGGTTCAGTCCTTCGAACGGTCTGCGTGATCTAAAGGACTTGTGCAACTCATTGGGAGTGCGGCAGGTGGATAGATGCACGCTGTTGTTGTAKGCACTAGCTACCTTAGGCAACATCTCATCCCAGTTRATCTGRTCTGGTCTAATGTACATGCKCARAACTTGCWGTAGGATCTTGTTCATCTGTTCTGTCTGACYGTTGGTCTYTGGATGACGGCCAGATGACATTAACAACTTAGAYCCRTACACTCTCATGAGTTCTTGCCAGTTCTGGCTGGTGAAGCGACTATCTCTATCGCTGACTATTGACAATGGGATTCCATTCTCACTAACCCAAAAGTCAAAGAACTTCTGTATCACTAAGTCTGTATGTGTCTCTGCAGGCAAAGGAACAAAAACTGCATACTTAAACCGGTCAACTATGACCATGACTTGGCTTTTACCATCCCGGCTCTTGACGTGGGTGTCCATGAAGTCTATGGACACTGAGTCTTCCGGCTGATCCGGAATAGGCAAGGGTCTGACGTGGTAGTCTTATTACGCTGGCATACCTTACAAGGGTCTGAGAAGACCAAGGGGTGCGCGCGTGGAGGTCTTATTACGCTGGCATACCTTACAACTGCGGACATACTCTATGCAGTCATTCTTCATTCCTGGCCAGATTGGCTGGAGTCTTTTGCCAACCGAAATGTCCCTCTGTATCATGGCATTCCCCTAGGATCAGACTACGGATCTCTTCGTTGTTGGGAACGCACAGGTGGTCAAATACGTTAGTCTTCTCAAACAACAATCTGTTTGTAGTGCGGTAATCTGGCTCAGTCTTTGGAGCCTCTCTGACTCTCTTTAGGAGGTCGCTATAGATAGGGTCCTGCGCATACGCTTGCTTCACTTTCTCTTGCAGGTCTCTCCCTATATCCAGATAGTGTACTATGGYTCCAAAGTAGTCTGATCTCCTACTCAGAGCGTTCGCGACTAYGTTGTACTTGCCCYTCACTGGCTTAAGCTCAAAGTCATRTTGGTCTATCTCTGCGGCCYACCTARTTAACTTAGGTGTCATCTTGGCCTGAGTCTTTAACCAACGAAGCGTCTCGTGGTCAGAATACACTTTGAAGTGCCTCCCAAGCAGGTAATGCTTCCAGTGCTCTAAAGCTTGCGTGAGAGCGTAGAGTTCTCTCTCGTACGTTGAGGTAGCAACCTTCTCTGAGGGCATCCTCACTGACATGAACTCTACAGGTCTGTAGCCATTGCCGCCGTCTTGCTGCAACACGACGCCTATCCCGTACTGACTTGCGTCCGTGGTGATGACAAATGGCAAGGACGGATCTGCTACTTTGAGGACAGGGTATTCTATTAGTGCGTGTTTCAGTTTCTTGAGCGCGGATGTACAATCCTTGTCCCATTGCCAGATTGCCTCTTTCTTAAGCAACCTGCGCAGGGGAGCGGTGATAGTAGAGAAGTTCCTCACGAACTTCCTGTAGTAGTTAGCTAGGCCTAGGAACGATCGCAACTCTGTCAATGTGCGGGGCGTCAGCCAATCTCTAATCGCCGCTATCTTACTGTCCTCTGGCTTAATGCCATCTCCGTCTAATACGTGGCCCAAGTACAAGACTTGTGTCTTGGCCCACTCACACTTCTTCGCGTTGATCTTGAAGTTAGTTTCTCGTAGCTTCTCCAAGACCTGCCTCAGATGACCCTGGTGTTCTTGGAGGGTCTTACTAAAAACCAAAATATCATCTAAATAAACCACTACAAACTTGTCTAACCTGGGTCTGAATAGGTCATGCATACAATGCTGAAACGTAGCTGGCGCGTTGGTTAGTCCAAAGGGCATCACTATGAACTCATAATGCCCATATCTAGTCCGGAAGGCAGTCTTGTACTGATCATGAGGATGGACTTCTATCTGATGATAACCGGACTTTAAATCAATCTTAGTGAAATACTTACAACCCTGCACCCGATCTAGAAGATCGCCTATCCTGGGCAGTGGCTCAACATTCTTCACAATAATCGCGTTGAAACCCCTATAGTCTGTACACATTTTCAGCTCTCCTTCCTTCTTGGGGACAAACAAAACAGGTGCTCCAAAAGGAGAGGAACTGGGGCTGATCCAACCTTTTTTTGAGGAGCTCGTCTAACTGCTTGCGAAGCTCCTCTAACTCTTTAGGGGACATCCTGTAGGCTGCACCCTTAGGAGTTCTACTGCGAGGCTCTATCTCTATCCTGTGCTGGATGGGTCGCGGCACTACTCCTGTCGGTGACTCAGTCAAATCCTTGTAACTCTTCCAGCAACTTGGCTACGGTTGGATCTGTAGAACTGTCTTCTTTCTGGGCCTCAGTGAGAGGTCTAACATAAACTACAAAGACTTGTTCTTCGAACCGCTCCTTCTTTACTAACCGCGCGAACGCGGGAGCACTGAGACATCAATGTGCCAAGGTGTTGTCTAAACCTGACACATGAAACAGGCGGGCAATCTTAACCTCGCCTGACGGGCTAGGGAGCCTGCACTCATGCTCACTCAAATGGAGTGTGGCCCCTGCTGCCTCTCCCCAATCCATTCCTAGGACTACATCAAAAGGAAGGTCATCCTGTACGAGGAGAGTCAGGGAATGGAGAACTTTCTCTCCACCTTCCCATCTTTCTCTAGGCGAAAGTATGCCTAGATTCCTCTACATAGTCCTCAGCTCGCATCGTGCGGTTGTCTGCGAGGACACTGACTATCGGGTCTGCTAATTTTTGGACTTTTAGTCCTAGCTTCAACTTCTTCAGCGCCCTACGGCTAATATAACTGCGGGTGGCCCCTGAATCTATAAGGGCCCCTACTCTATTCCTGAAAACTTCTACATCTACTAAGATCAGTTGTCCTTTACKCTCTTTCTTCATMTTGGCCCAGGCTGSCATCCTCTCCTTTAACTYTTTTGYCACACCTGTGAGGGACGTGCCTAAAGAGACGCTAACACAGGCGGTCTCTGGACAGCTAGCTAGGCACGGGCCTGCAACCTCTGCCATAGGCTCATGTGGGTTGGGAGTGTCCTGTTCGCACGCGCTCACTTCTTCACATGGCCTTGAAGTAGGGGCAGTTGCGACCCCTACTGGCGGCTGCCTTTTGACTGCTGGGCAGCCCAACGGGCCTGTCTATACTTTGGACAAAATTTTATTACGTGGGCCGGGTCACCACAAAACACGCACCGACTAAGGTTCACGCGTTCCTGCCATAACCCCTGGTCCAAGCCCAAGTCTTCCCAGGGCCTTCCCTGTGGCAAGCCTGGGTGCCAACCTCCTTGAGGTGCCCTTCCACCTCTTCGCTGTTGAGACCGATTACCTTGGCGATTTGGCGGGGGACCTTGACCCCTACCTCCCGCTTGGCGGTTTCCTTGGCCGCCAACCCCTGTGCCCCCGGTCCTCAACCTCCCATGGCCTGGCCCCTTTGGCCCTGGCCTCCTCCTCTACCTTGCGGCCTCCCTCCAGCCGCGACAGCAGCATAAGACCTCCCCTGTCCTACACTACTGTCCTCTTCCTCTAGGCCCCACTCAATCTGACTATATGGGACCTCATCAGTACCACCTTCCTCTAACGTCAGGATCATGTGATCCTTGGCCTTGACTTGGCCAGAGATGGTACGTCCTTTCCACCTTTTCCCTTTTTCCAGGTCCTTATGCCAGAAGGTGGAAACTGGCATGGACTTCGACTCGAACAGGACCACTTTCCTACTCGATGCAACATAGGTGATGCCGACCTGTTTAGTCTTATCAAAGAAGTGCCCCCTCAGGGGCTCTGGCATGGCACAATAAAACAATTGGACCAGTTAGGTCTCCGTGACCCCATGGTCTGGGACGACCACCAGGTCGTCCATGGTTCCCTTGAGTGCCCTTGCACTCCTCCACTGTCGTGAGTGGATTGTTTGTAGCTTGTCAGAGGCACGAATGCCTCTCGTTGGGTATGCAAATTGCTCCTTCAGGAGCTTGAGGAATTGAGGAAGGGGCTTGAGGAATTGAGGAAGGGGGGTAACCTTAGAGTAAGCAACCAGGTTGTTTTCACAACCGGCTACGCATGCAAGAGACCTGGCGAAACTAGCCGCTTCATCTTTGAGGGCCTGGAAGGCCACGAGGACTTGCTCATTTGTCAGGATATGCTGTAGATAAATATAACTATTGACACTGGCTTCCGAGTTGTCAAAGTTCTCCTCCTTCTTTTCCCCGTATGCGTCTGGAAACTTAAGTTTAACCGGGTCCTTGCGGGGTCTGGCCTCGCCCTCTACAGCGACTGTAGCTTTTGCACCCTCAATGGCGCCCTCACAAAACTTCCCTACGTTGTCCCTTAATTGCTTTACTTCGCCCCCAATGTGGGTGACGATCTCACGCGCAAACTACCTAAACCCTGACCGCATGGCACTCAAGGCTACATCCTGGCTCCAACTTGCCTGGCGCTCCTCCATCCAGGCCTTGCTCAACACCTCCAGGTAACCCAATATCTTGTCCCACTTGGCCTTGTCATCAGGTTGGGCCAATACTTCCTTTCTACATTCTTGCACCTGTGCCACGACTGCGGTCATTTTATTCACTTCATTTCTCCTCCTCCTCTTCTCCCTCTTCATTCTCAACTTCCATTGTAGCTTCTGCTCGTCTTCCCTCTCTCTTCGTTCCATAGGGTCCGCCATGGCTGCTAGCTCGGCGGCCAGTGTGACCTTCTCATCCTCAGTCACTTACGACTCCGCCTCCTCATCTTCTCCCAACGATAAATTAGCAACCCACTCGTTGATCTTCTTCTCAATCCCAGCGTCTGTGTCCCTTTTCGTGCCACTACTTCCCTCTCTGCTTTCAATCCTCATTCTTTCCTTTTCTTCTTTTGTTGCCGCTTCTTCTTCAACAGCCTTCTTCTTTTTCACCATCTCCTCCTCTATTTCCTTCATCTTCGCCGCCTGTTCGTCTGCAATCGCCTTTAACTTTGCTTGCTTCTCACGCTCTTTCCTCTCCCTGTTCTCCTTGACTAAGGCGGCCATCTTTTCTTGCTGCTCCTTGGTGTTGGGGCTCGTGTCCAACCCACTACGGGTCTCAACCATGGTGATAAGTGTACAACCGGGTTAGTGGTTCCAGACCTCACCACGTAGACTCTGACCCCTGACTGACAAACCTATTGACTCAATCTAAGACTCACAGAACCCTGACAAGGATCCTGTCAACTATGGTCTCTAGCCTAGACCTATGCTATGGCTGTCACTACTAGACCGTTTGCTGATCTGGAGGCCTTTTAAGGAGATCCCCCAAACTCCTCAAGAATTCTTTAACGTCGCAGACAGGACGACGTGATCAGCTTGGTCTGGCCTGTTGCATCAGCCCACAACTCAGCCTTTCGAGCCTACCGTGCCAAACCGAGCAGCCCGCCGGTCAGTACCGGGCCTTGGGAGGGTTCGTGTCCCCCGGGACAGTCGAGTCGTCAGACACGGCCTTTAGCCTTACTAGGTCCGGTAGGGGTTTGGGTGAACAAGGCCCTCAACACTTAAGACTGCCTGGTGTGTCAGCCCACAACTGTCGTTCAAGCCCACCGTGCCACGCCCAATCCGCGTCCCGCCGGGCAGCACCGGTCCTTGGGAGGGTTAGGCCCCCCGGGACAGTGAGATTAAACACGGTATTAGCTCTACAAGGTCAGGTAGGGGTTTCGTCATCCAGACCCTATCCTTCATCGACAAAGTACTACCACTTAGGACAAAAGAGACTCGTTGCAGAAAGAATAGACATACCAACTTGACTCAGCAAGTACCAAGGGGTGTGTGCACATCCATAGGGCAAGGGATAGGCTGAGGGCTTGGCGAGATGTTACCAACTCCAGCTTGGTCAAAGTCTTGGTCAACACCTTGGTCAACGTTGCTATAGGCCCCGGTCAACTCCGGTAATCGCTGGTCAACACCTCCGGTCAGCTCTGGCTGCCGGCTCTTCTTCCTCGCCAACCCTGTTCTTCTTCTTCACCTTCCTCGCCTCCTTTCACCCCGCTGTCTTCTTCTTCTCTTTTTTTTTTTTTTTTTTTTTTTTTNTTTTTTTTTTTTTTTTTTTTTTTTTCCCCACTCCTTCCTCCCTTCGGCTATGGCCGCTTTCTCTCTCTTCTCGATCTCTCCCCCTCTGTCCGGTTTCTCCCTCCTTGGTACTCCGTGGTAATACCCCGCAGCTATGGCCGCTTTCTTTCTCCTTCACGTGGACTGCACAACTTGCTTCACAGAAAAGCGTCAGGCGGCAGCCGAGGCTGCCCGCCTACAGGCTGAAGCAGTGGAGTAGCTGAAAAGCAGCGACTTCAGGCCAAAGCTGATACAGATGCCCAGGTCCGCCTCAAGGAGGCCTAGGATCTGCTACAGCGACACGGAGCCGCCAGCATTGAAAAGCTCAAGTTCTAGCATTTTGAACCATCTGAGAACCACGAAGACGCGACACCGAAAGAGCGGCACAAGGAGTTTCTCGCCATACTTGTGACCCGGCTGGTTTACATTTGTAACCACCATTAGTCCGAGCTGGCGAATCTCCGACGGGGGGTGTGGAACCACAAGGATCTGCACGAGGATGCTACATGGGCACTTGATTCCCGTGTATAGGACTTGGAGCAAGTTGCACCAAGACCAGATGCTAGCGAGTCCAGCAGTGCAACGTCTACCCTCCAATCGGAGGAACGAGTTGACCACCTAGTCGCAACACTAGCACCTTCGCCGCACCAGCCACCATCAGCAAGCAGTTGGACACCTTGAAGACCGAGGTTCAGCAACTGCACCAGCTGCCCAATAAGGATGGCAACACCAGTGCGCAGCACAACAAGATGCCGACATTCCGCATCGAAAAGTTCTATGATTATACACATCAAGACCCGGTCCCCCGGTGGGAGGGCTTTACGACGGAACTTCGGATTCTTTTTGTCCACTCGTACATCGGTGCGTTGTTCCTCAACTCAAAGGGCGGATACCAGATATGGCTCRGCCACCTCGCAACCATCCACGGCGTCGAGGTCGCCGATCTACATAAAAAGATCTCTTGGGAAAATTTGACGAGGCTATGGAAGAAGCGGTTCATCGTGGATGATGCCCCGACGCTCGCCATCAACCGCCTCTTCGCCATGACCCAAGAAAACACACCGACACGCGACTGGCTCACGGAATGGCAAAAGATTGTGGCAACGCCTGATCTCGAGTTGCCATTTTCGCATCTGCGTCGGGAGTTCTACAACTGGTCATGTGCCGCCTTGAGCCTCACACTTGGTGATCGCGAGCAATACACCACCTTCGCCGAAATCATCGACAAGGCAAGGGAGATCATCAAGACCAACAGGGCGGCTGAACACGAGAAATCGGCGTGGCAGCCAACCTATGTGGAGAAAGGAAAATTTGGTCCGCGTCCGCAGCATGTCGCTGCTGTCCAACCAGACGACATTGTGGAAGATCCAGCAGCCACCCAAGCATCACGTGTGGGAGATGAGGTGGCCGTTGTCCAGCTGCGAAGCAACAACAACGCCTGAGGAAAAGGGAAGGCGAAAACTGCATCGCCGGCCGGAAACAGACAGCCAGTACCATGGGTCAAGTTTCACTTGAACGAGGTCGAATACAAGTGGCGCGACCGGTAGCTGCTGCTATTGGTGCAACATCACCAAGCACAAGACCTCCCAATGCCCGGATCAAGGCAAGGAGGATGTTCGGCTTTGCATCAACTCAAGAAACTGAGTTGCGCGGGAGGTGAGGCGACTCCACCTCTCACTCTGCCAGATTCACCCGCCTTGCTAGCGGTCTCCTACACATCGGGGGAGGATGCGAATGTCACGAGTCCTTGATTCACTTACGAGGATTACATTGTTCACTTGGTCCCACCGTTGGACCAACCGCTCCACGTGCAACAATCCAACGCATGCACGGTTTCACCACCATCGGCAACCAATTTGGTACCAAGGCAAAAACTCACCACTAGAACCCTCCGGGGGTACCCGGGCCTCATTTTGGCCACGTACATGCAGTCCGAGTGGTTGGTACCAGCTCGGATTGCCTCTTGGCCTCCCTTGGTCTCCTTTTCTTTTTCAAATGCTGCCCCCTCGAGTCCAAATGCCCAAGGGGCAGCCCCACCTGAGAAAAAAAGGCCGAGTGGGCCTTTTTTTTGGTTTTTTCAGTTTCTATCCCATTTTTGGTAGGCTGAGGTATTCTCTCATGCCTTGGTGCTTTTTCAGCCTTGGGTCTGGCTAAGATCCAAGGCCAGCAATATTCTAAGACTTTTTCAGCCTTGGGTCTGGCTAAGATCCAAGGCCAGCAATATTCTAAGTTATCCCTTGGTGATCCTTGCGTCAAATTTGAGCCCCTAATCTCACTTTTTCAGTTTTCGGTGCATCTGACCCTCCGTTTGGGCGAAATGCACAATGTTGTTTTTTTCTTTTTTTTGTTTCTTTCCATTTCGGGTTACCAACTCATTCCGGAGTTGGCCGTTTGAGTTGACCTCATCAAAAACTACCATATTCCCTCCGCCATGAATCTCAGATCCATGACCCAAAAGAAAACTGACCATTTTCCTTTTGCATTTTCTCTCAATTTTTCCTTTTTAATCCATATTTTGCAGAGATATTGCCCCAAGGGTCATATCTCTACAATCCGGATTGCCCTCCACTAAATCTCGAGGGATGAGGTCACAGTAGGGACCTGCCAGTCCCTACTGTGCCAGTCCCAATAGGTCGGCACATTCTCCTTCACTCTTTTCTCCCTCTTTAACTCACTCTTCCTCCATTTTCTCTCATTTTTCTTTTCTTTTTTTTTATTTCTGATGTGACAAGTGTCAAGTGGCTGTTGAGTCTTTTTCTAGGCCATGGATCCTCATCTATGGTCAGATTCAGACTCAACAGTTGGCCGTTATATCTCGGATTCTAATAATGATACCCCCATGCTCATGGGGCACTCCATTTTGTCTTTGTTAGTCTCAATTTTTAGCCCTCTTTGCTCCGATTTTCTTTTGACAGCCTTTTTTCTGTGTTGAGCCGCTTGGGGCTCTATTTTCCCATGCCTATCTCGGACTGCTGGGCAACCCTTCTATTATCATTATTTTGTTTTTTTTTCTCTCATGGCCCTCCCACTTGATCCCACTTGTGGTGCTAATATTTTCCACCGTCTAGATCCTGATCTCGACGGTGTTGTTTGCTTTGCGTGACCATTCCTCACGTTGGCTCAGGGTCCCCTTGAGACATCTCAAGTCCCCGCCACTCTCCTCGTAGTAGTTTCATTTTTTTTGTCCCACCGGTAGTCCCGTCGACACGTCCCATTTTTCGACTATTTTTATTTGGGCCCATTTAGTCCCCGACATTGTCCCGGATGATGTTCCATTTTTATTTTTGGGACTTGTCCTTGTTAGTTCCAATATCCCCTCCTCAAGTGCCCTTTGTGTGCCGATGATTCTCCGTCTTGAGATCCTCATCTGACGGTTGTCGTTTACCGTTTTTTTTGCCTCATGCCGAGTCACTCTTTTCTAGCCTTTCAGGCTTGCCACGACTCGTTTTCTCTTGGCCTAGGCATCCTTATGCAGTCCGTTATTTCTCGGATTGCAACTGTGGCCATTTCGCTAGTCCCACAACCCCACAACTTACCCCTAATTGAAAGAGAATTAAGTGCTCAATTTTCAAGTGCAAGGATCAGGGTCCTCGGTAGGCCTATGGGGCCCTGTTTGCAGCCTTACCCGCCCTAAGCGAAGGCGGAGGTGCCCGCCCTAAGTGAAGGCGGGCCTGGCTTTTTCCAAGAGGCCCTCGACTGTCAATTTCATATTTGGGGTCCAGGCAGTTGCGACGCGCCAGTTGGTTGAAAGGAACACAGGTCGAGCACCAAGGACATTTCCACGGCCTACCGGGCCTTTCCAAAGAATGCAGGCCCTGGGCGTGATTCGGAGCCTCATACAGTGATAGTTGGGCGCCCAACCGAACGAGGCCCAGCAGCCCAGTAGCTGCTGCATCCAGGCAGCCTCCTGGGGCCTTCCGTAAGCTTCTGGGCCCAGGCCAGCCCAGCCAGGCTGCGAGAGCTGGCCAACTCTTTTCCATAAAGGAAAGAGCTCTGGCCAGGCAGCCTCATTCAGGCACTCGCATGCTAGCGGCAGCGCTGCTGGAGCAAAGGCTCGCGGCTGCTGGCTGGCGCTGAGAGGCGAGGTGCAACACGTGCGGTCGTGTAGAGGAGGAGGGCGCTGTTGAGGGCAACGCCATAGTCCAACCACCATAGCTGGTGGGCTTGGACTACAGTGAAGCGCAGGGGTGGTCTTCGGGTGAAAGAGAGGATAGGTGTGGGTGTAGTCAGGGGATAGGTGAAGGATGATGATGATGATGATGATGTGAGGGCACTTACCTTATATTGGCGATGGTCTGCATAGGCGACATCTTCAAGTACTTCGGGCTGTCGCTGATGTCAACAGTTGCATTGTCTTTTTGTAGTCTGTAGTAAGCTGTGTAGGAGTAGGCTGGGCGCTGAGCGCCAAGTGTGAGTGTGAAGTAACTGGACTCTTGTATTGGGAGGAGAGAGTATGCTCTCCATGAACATTGTTTTTCAGTGCTACGAACCTCCATTGGTGTATTATTGACGCAATGCTGATCTCTGGACACAGTGTGACTATTTGGCTTTTAATGTGATGGTGTGATATGGAATTATCATCTCGCAGTTACTTGTTTTCCTTGCAATTTGGTATCGGAGCTGGTTCATATTGCGCTTCATTGGTGCTTCGCATGAGGTGTGGGGCAGTGATAAGGCATTGGTGTTGAACGTTAGGCGGCCCAGGGTAGTGTGGGCGCGCCAGGAAGCTATGTGGTGACATACGGGGTGTGTGCTGGATGATGAGAACTCGCTGATGTGGCATATTGAGCCAAGGTGGAACCGCATTCTGCTGTTGGTTGTGCTGAGGCAAGGACCGGTCATCATAATTGCACATCAGGTTACCGGTGAGAAATCTGTGCTTGGGGGCAGCATTTATGAGGTACGTTGCTCTCTTCCTTATCTACCCTCTTCATCTCTTCTTACCGTGAGGAAGTGAGTTCTGTCTTGAGAGTCCTCTCGATGTGAGGTGTCGCGAGCGCTCTTCCTTGAGAGTCGACATTCTTCTTGGGCAGCAAGCTGGTGGGAGACGGGCGAAGCCTCTGAAGGGCCCTGGACGAAGCACTTGGGTCACGGTCACCATGCCAACCCTCTGGGACTAGTACACGAATGCTTGGGCTGCAAGTCCTTGGTTCTGCTGCTTGCGCAATAGAAGTCGTGCCGGGCATGCCAGCCTTTTATGAGACGCTTACCAAACCGTCTATAAATATTTCTGGTTGGGGATCTGTATCCTTCTTGAGTAGTCTCTTTGTGTCAGCGTTCCTGAGCATCTGGTTGAGCAGCGTGCCTGAAAGTGTGCAATTCGGCCCACCCCTGTGCCCCAAGTCATTGCTCCTGATCAGCCAAATCAACCGGGTGTAAGGCTCGTTCCGTACGAGGGTAAATAAGAGTGGACTGGCTGGCATGTTCGGCAATGACTTGGGGCACAGGGGTGGGCCGAATTGCACACTTTCAGGCACGCTGCTCAACCAGATGCTCAGGAACGTTGACACAAAGAGACTACTCAAGAAGGATACAGGGGGAGGGGGGATTCCGGTAACTGTTCACAGTGGCAATCCACTATCAATCTGCCATCCAGTATACATCTCCAGCAGGAGATGTTATTTCTATCTTTGATTAGTTGTTACAGACTTCGCTGACAACTAACAGACAGTTACAGACAGACTAGACTCTTTGCTGTAAAGTGATTTGTATTAGACTAATGTAAAAATAGATGTGATGTATCCTGTAGGACCTGACATTAGTTGTGACTATATCACCTAATTGTTTATGTTCCAGCCGACCGATAATAGTTGTATATCGCAGGCGGTTGTGTGTCACGCTAAGGKAGGATTCAGTGTGAGTTCTAGTTTAGATCACACACACCGTAGCTCATGAGTGAAGACAGCAGTGAGGAGGAGCAAAGGCTAGTGCAACCCATTAGACCCACACGGAGAACCGCTCTTAGTCAACCTTTGACTTTCTTGGAGTTAGGTCCAGGAGAGGAGAGGAGGCTGCGAAGGGAAGCTAGGGAGAGAGCAGCGCGAGGAGGAAAATAGGGACGCAGCAGCCAGCTTAGCGGCTGCAATGGCTTCCGCCTCTTCGACATCGCAGTCCACCTCCCAGTCTTCTTCGTCAGGGGCTGGAC